AATTCATTTATTATCCAATATCTAAGTTATCAATATGCTGTTACCCACAATCTAAGTAGTAATGTGGCAATCAGCATCTTAAAAGCAAAGAGAACCTAAGTTTTATAGAACTTAAATTCTATAAAAATGTATAAACTTGTTTTGCACTTGCCTGCGGTGTCTCATATTTGAATATGACATAAAACATGGAGCATATGAGTGCATAAAGAGGAAGTGTAAATCTCAGAAGCCCAGGTGCATGGCTAGGAAGGGGGAAGGATGGGAAAGGTTTGCTTAAATCACATGTCAATTGTGGTTTAGTTTTAATGCAACAAAGACCCTTAAAAATTGCTTGCACATCTGACCCAGTTCTGTCAAGTGATTTACTAATATTGCCCAATGTATAATTTCCTTTGTAAGGCATTGTGATTAAATGTCTTTTGAGCACAGCATAAGATAGATCACAACACTGCATGCAACCAACTTACATTGCTGCCTGAAGCTCTGATATTTTATTGTAAAGCATTTTTTTAAAAAAATGCCTCATTTGCCTTTCAAGAAAGTGTTTGCAATTGATCTAAGACATTTAGCTTAAATCTAGTTTTCTTTAAATTTAATTCATTGCTTTACAGGGATTCAGTAGCATTCTGCTTTGTGCTTTATTTTAAGGATGGTATATCTCTCTTACAGTAAAGCATCGGAGGGTTTTTATCTTTAAAAATATAAAATTGTGCGTTTGTTGTGTTTCGGTTGGTGAATTGGCACTACAATTCAGATTTCTAAAAACAAGTAAAAGTGAAAGGGACAGTAATTAGTGAGGAAACTGATTTAGTTAAGGTTCATAAACGTTAACTGAGACTTGTGGATTGCCCAAAATGAATAACTTTCTGAAAGGCAAATAGAATAGAATATCTGGCTGACTGTGATGAACCATAATAATGAAAAGGCATAGCCTCTCAACTCCTGCTTTAGTTGTGTCTTCTTCAACAAAACTCTTTGTGATGTGTCAGGACCAGGGCTTTTTTTTCTCATAAAATGGAACTCCATTCCCAGAATGGAGTTCCGGCACCTTTTTGGGATGGAACCTTGTAGGGTAGGCAAGGCGGGTTGTATGACTTGTGTGAGTTCCAGCACCTTTTTTTTTTTTTTAGAAAAAAAGCACTGGTCAGGACATTGTGAAGATCAGAACTGAAGGAGCTTGAGACTGATAGAACAGCAGAGGGTGATATTTATATGTTTGAAATGAATGTCAATATCCAGGACCAGATAAATGACATCCTAGGATATGAAAGGAATTAATCTAGCCAAGCTCTTATCTGGTATCACTGAGGCATCCTGAAAGATTTGTGAATTGCCAGGTGCTTGGAGGATAGTAAGCAATGTTCCCATCTTCAGAAAGGGGAAAAAGGAAGAGTTAGCTGACTGTATGCTAGTCAGTCTAACATTGGTACCTGGGAGAGCCAGGTATCTGGTTTCCCACCCAGACATTAGGCCCCCACAGCATGTGAGCTTATTTAGTGTGGTGGTTGTCTATTTATTTGGTTTTGCTCTATGCATACAATGTACATTTATTTTCCTTTATATTTAACCAGTATTGTGGTTATTTTATTGATTAAAATGCAAAGCTCTATTAGGATACAAAAATCATATGCATGCCTGTAGAATGTGAGATATCTGGCCTGGTACATGTGAAAAATAACTTGGTGTAGTACAGGTAATCCTCACTTACTGGCTGTCTTGTTTAATGACTGTTTGAACTTACAGTGGTGTAAAAATAACATCTTTGCCACCTGTCCTCAGGTGTCATAGCATCCTGTGGTCAAGTGATTTTTGTGCTTCACAAATGAATTCTGATAAGCAGACTTAATGAAGAATGAAAAAGTAAAATTTCAAGTTGCAATCGTGTGATGTCTTGCTTAACAACTGCAGTGACTCACATAACAACCACATGGGAAGTGACATTATAAGTCTGTCATGGTCATATGATTTTTCACTAAGTGACCATAGCACTAAGCGATGGATTTGTTGGTTCCAATTGGGGTCGCTAAGCAAGGACTACCTATAATGGATTGCAAACTGAGTATGAACCAACAGTGTAAGGTGGCTGAAAACAAGAAAATACAATTTCAGGCTGCATCAGTAGAAGCATAATTTCAAAATTCAGGAAGTAATATTTACGCCCTATTCTATTTATATCACATTTTGGGTATTGTATCCAGTTCTGAGCACCACATTTGAATTTGAAAAAAACTGGCATCTATTTAGAGAAGCACAATAAAGATGATCAGGGGATTAAAAACTGTAACCTATAAATAGTGATTAAAAGTTCTGGTAATGTTTAGCTGTCTTTCTTTGGATATCTGAAGAATGTCATATAGAACAGAGGTCCCCAACTTTTGGGCACCAGGACCGGTTCTGTGGAGAAAAGTTTTTCCGCGGACCAGAGAGTGCGTGGGTTTATGTGCTGCCTGCAACCCACAGATGGGGCTTTGCTTGTTTGTGTGAACCG